CCGGTCCGTCACAGCGGGTGGAGCTGCAGGATTTCTGCTTCACACACGTTGCACCGCTATTTTATTGTCTTTTTCGGACACCTTAAAGCTCCCATGTCATGCTTTTCCGGTTATTACCCGTCCCCTTGTGTGTTATGAAGGTTTTTATGCATGTAAACGGTGTGCAGAGTCAAAACCCTCAAAGTACACCCTGTAGCGAGTAAAACTCTAACACAGAAAATACCTCCCCAAAACGCCTCGTTGGAGATACGTCACTGCCCATTTGAGTCTTCCATTTAGTTCCGGGTACCGCCTGATGTCATGCGGTACCCGGAACGAAATGGACCAATCCCGAAGAGCTATGGCCACACCAGCAGTGGCGTGTTCCTCCTCCAGAGGTTCTAAGAACCGGCATTTCACAGACGAAAGCTTCCAAAACATTGCCCAGTTTGAGGCCGGATATGCACAGCTTGTTTGGACCGTTTGGAGCAGGGGAAGATCTGGGTATACAACCTGTAAGTTTGCATTGTTATTTGTGTATTTATCAAACAAGACTGTTTAAATGTGTAAACTGTGTTGGACTGCTAAGCCATTGACACAGTGCTAACTGTGCTAACTAAGTTGCTAGAGTTTCCATATATCAACTCTAATATCAGCAGATGGCCTTGCATACATGTATCTCATAGCAGGAGAATGTCTGCATTCACACACAAAATACCTATTGACAGTATACTCCGGGTGATTTGCCGGTCAGTCGCGAAATGTAATTACATTATAGCTGGCGTAGCGATCTAACACACGGAGCTAGAGCTAGTTTTGGTCAGAAAAACATTTTTGTGATGCTACGTTGCTAGCGTTTAAATATATCAACTACAATGTCAGCAGATGGCCTTACATGTTTGTCATGGCAGGAGAATGTCTGCAGTCACACACACGGAATACTCATACAGTATACTGTACTGTGATTTACCGTACATTGTGACCGTACATATACTGCATGTAGCTAACGAGGCTAGCGCAAAACAATGTATTCATGCAAGTTACATTGTATGGTAGCAGAATACCCGTATACGATTGCAATTATAAACACGTTATTGCTAGCCTAATATGAACCACTAGCTTTTGTTCATAGTAGTTTTATTACACTGCATTATAGTTGCCTTTCCTCCAAGCTAACGTTCATATCGTGTTAGCTACCAAGGTAAACAAAGCTAGGTTAGCATATTAGCAGGCAAGCTGTTCATTACACAACTACTACTAACGAATCTAAAACAACTAAGTTTCTCTAATATTTTGTGATTTGCATTTGATTTCGTCCAGCCAGATCCTGGCGGACAATCCATGACGGGGAAGGGATTCTACTACTACTGAGGGTGCTAAAAGGCACCGCACCGACTGTGCGCAGGCAAGATGCGAGGAGGAGGAATGAATGATATACCGTGTGTATATATGTATATTTATGTTCATTTTGTACATTTCTAAAAATAAAGTTTAATGGAAAGGCCTATCCTTTCTTCCCTGAATTCATATAGCAAACCATGATTTGATTTCTCATCAAACAGTAGTAGTTTATAACGGGTAAAAATAACTTACTCTTTGTTATGAGAGTAGCTCGTAGGCCACAACGGAAAGACAAGGAGACATACACGAGTTTACAAAACCACGGCACATTTATTGTGGTAAATGCAGAGACACAGACAGGTGGTTGAGAGGATCGCAGAGTTAGTCTTCCTGCAGCCGCTTTGGAGAGAGACTGTGTCCGGAGGTGTCCGTGATCGCGCTGATTACCCTCTTCAGCTCCACCCCATCGTAAGACAAAGGCCCTGGGGCCGTCACACTCTTCTATAACAACAGTTAAAAATATATATGTATATAAAATATACCGCTGTACCGACGCCATGATAAGACTGATGTTACGCTGAGAGCAGCCGGGAAAAGCACTGACATGGGCGCAGCCTCTCTGGTGGTTGACTAATCAGAACGAGTGGCCGAGCTGACCAATCGGAGCACACTAGGCTCACAGGGAGGGGGGGGCAAGAGCTCCAACGAGTCGTTTAGTGGAGAAAGTGAATACTGCTGAATACACATGCTTGACAGAGATGCTGTATGCGAAACCAATGTGAGTTTGGAAAATTGCACAGTATAAATCTATTTTAGTATACCTCAACAATGTAATTATGATCAGTGGAAATGGCCATGACATGGGCCCTTTAAAATAATGCCAGACTGGTGAAGCGATTTTGGCGAACTTGTTTTGCCGCACACAGAGAAAAGTGTCATGTGTCTCGCGATCGGCCTTTTTAGAGAGCACCGATCGATCGGCATAGAGTGAGTATCGGCCGATATCGATCGCCACGCAAAAACTGCGGCATTTGTACAGCTCCTTATGGGTAATGCAATTTGTGAAGTGCTTTCCTCTGTGGTGAAACTATCAGCACTGCATTACGGAGGAAAGCGGCAGAAAGTCGCCTGGAGTTAAAGAGAGTGGGGCTGCGTTGCGTGCATGACTTCCTTCTGCAGGTAACGGGGAGACGCGCTCTGGCGGCGGTCTCGTTCAGGATCCGAAAATAAAATAAATATTTTGTACACTTATTCCACTTATTCCTAGTGTGCCACTGGTTACGGTGCCGCGTGCCATTGGTGGCACGCGTGCCAGGGGTTGCCGACCCCTGGTTTAGAGGGTGTTACACTGCTGCTGCTCATTTGACAGATTTGAGTTCAAAGCCACCGTCACTCCTGATGTTGACAGAGCTGGTCACAGCTACCTCTGCCAGCATCTCAACAACACTCAGATTGAATGGCGCGACGTTCGAGGAACATCATCGCCCTGACACAGGATCAGCTTCAAGTGAGTATCAAGGGGACATCACAGACCATGGAGATGGAGCGCTAAACAAAACATCTAACAATGTGTTAGACTTTACTGGAAATAAATTCTCATTTATTTGACCAATGATGATTTTCTAAAAAAGGAATATGTAATCTTAATCAAAAGGCTCTATAGTTCAACAAATACAATTAAAATTGTAACTGTCACATAAATCATAGACAACATTCTAATCTTTAAAAAAATCAGTTTGAAATGCCTAAATAGAAAACTCTTGATATAAATCTGTGCATGTTAAGTTGATCAATGTTTGTCAACTTAATTTGCCTGTGGTATTTTCCTTTGGTACAGTGTAACCTGCAGCAAATTGATTTGATTTCAATTGCATTGATTAACGGTTATTTTGTCTGATGGTGAAAATATGTTTTAACATCTTTCTAATAAATGTATCTTGTGTTTTTTGTTGTTTTCAGATAAGATTTTACAGTAAAAGTGTAAAAATAATCTCCATCTTTTCAGTGGTTCTTGGCTGTGAAAGATTCAGACATCTGTTCCGCTACAGATTAGTCCAGAGTACAAACCTGTACCCATGGTGTTGGACTCACTCAACTAGGAATATATTACTATTTATTTGACAATATTACTCAGAAAATTCTTATTTTAAGGGTAACAATTTCCGAAAAGCATTTTAGAAAGACGCATGTAACTTTATAGTAATTATAAAAAGGGAAATGGACAATCATCTGAGACAGTTTTTAAGGAATTGTTGATTTAAGACTACAAACTGATCACTTGTACCCAGAGTTCCTTTAAATACAATAACATAGTTGTCGTACTTTTCTTATAAACCTTCCAGAGAATTTACAGTCATTGTTTCTTCCAGAAAAGGTATTTGTGACCTATACATTTTTTTACTTTAAGGTCTTCCGCAGAACTATTGTTGTTAAGTTACAGAGTCTATATATCCTAAAGGACTGTTGTAAGTGAGGTTCCAAACAATATTGCTGGCAGCCTGGTTTGGTACTCGTCGAGAGTCAGGATCTGGATGTCTCCATCACTGTAGTGTAGACCCTCTAACCCTGGACATAACCTGATTGAACCTCTCCCCTCTGGTTACATTACAGAACTCTGTAAGCCAAATCAACTGGGCACAAGAACAGTTACTTTCCAGACATCATAAAGTCCCTTCAGCATCAATGTCTTTGCACCAGTTGTTCCTGCTCTCTATTCTTCACCATGTGTCCATCTCTGTGGTCCTTGTCCTTGATGTTATTTCTATTTGTTTTGTAATTGCATTTTGAGTAATGCCATAAACAAAAAGTCGAGTTCCTTGTGTGTGTAAAGGGCGGTTCTGATCACTTTCTTGTTGGATTCAAATTATTTCACATTGGTTGCAGCAAATACATCTCTTATGAAGACAAATACTCTCGACACCTCAGTGCCAACACCTCTGTTTGATCTAACACCCATGTCTGCAGTACTGTTTGTCCTGCACAGACAGCATTCACACCGTTTGGCAGACATCCAGGCAAAGCATCGCCTCAAAGCCCCTCTCCATGTCATCTGCAAATGTTAGCCGACAACCGTTCCGTTAGCTGAATCCAGCAAATAACCTAGTCGAAGACAGTTTGCTGTGAAGGTGAAGTCTGACATCAGGCTAATTCCTGGGAGAGTAGCTAATTTATATTTAATTTAAACGCAGATAGGAATGAACATAATTTGCCCAATCAACACACATTAAGTTAGATAAAGACAACTAACGCTATCTGCTGCTATGAGTTATTATCCCAGGCATTAATTAAGCTTAGCATTGCAGCATTTAGACGCCACCGTGCAGGCTTTCCAGCAGAAACGTTAGCTTACCAGCGTTAGCAAACAGAGTCAATACATTAACGCGCTTTAATGTCAATTATATTAACAAAAAGTGTCACTCTCTGAAGATTTCCCATGTACACTAGCTTACTTGTCTCGGGTTAAAGAAAGTTATATGACTACGCTGGCTGTAAGTGACTTAGTTTTGCCCGGGCATTAAAGTTCTCCGCTCCAGTACTTAGTCGGAACCCGCAGCAGCCATTAGAGTGGGTATTGAAATGGCATCGTGTGAAAGCATCTCACTGCCACTGCACACAAACAGCGAAGCTCATCACAACACAAACTCTGCCGACACACCAAAAATAATTAAATCCAGTCTTACCATTGAAGGAGTGCACGAGAAACGCTTTTAATCAAGCGTCTTCCACTGAATCCACAAGCTTTGTCTGTTGTTAGGGAGCACTATTTTGCAGGAAGTTTCGTTGGGCCTACTGCGCATGTGCAGCATGTTCATTCACAGTAGTCCTTTCTTTGGCTCGACGGGGGACGACAGGTGTGGCGGGGCGTCAGCAACACAGGTGAGAGAACTGTAAACATTTGGTATTTGAACAGATGAACCATCTTCTTACGAATGCTTGTGTTAAAACAAAGTGTACAACATGTGTTGGAAATAGATTGTTAATTCAGTATTATTATTTGTCTATTCAAACAAGGACTATGCACAAAAAATAACTAACTCAAAGAAATAGATGATTGATGCCATATAGTTATTAGACAACATCCATCTTTACTGAGGGCAGGTAGAACAATCAGTAGAAACCCCAAAACAGTATTTACATGCAACAACATAACATAGTAGCCTACTTACATAGTCAAATAATAAGTATACAGACACATCTACAAACAGGCACATTAATTCAGTTCAACTATTTAAAAACATTTTAAATAACTTGAATTATAGTCAAATTGATGGACTGGATGCTACCTTTCTTTGCAACATGTGAAAAAGAGCGATAGTCTATGATAAGAGTAATTTAAACATTAGTTAGGAATCACAATCTGAAGTTATTGGTCCCACCATTTCCCAGCTGAAACATTTAGGTAATGAACATCAATGTGTTTATAATTATAATCCAATACATATTTTCCATTCTGCACAACAAATAGCCTACTTTTACTATCTCCCAAGTTTGTTTTGTTGCTTATACTTTTGTTTCCTCACTTACATAGCATTTTGAAGGCAAGACTTTTACTTGTAACAGATCATTTTTTACAGTGTGGTATAATATATTCCACTTGAAAGATCTTAGTACTTCTGATGAGTTCAGGTTTAAAATGAAAGTTTAGGCAAATGTTTCGTTTTTAATTGTAAAAAATTATATTAAATTAATTCATTTTTATCTTCAAAACTAGATAAAATAAAAAAACTAGAAGGACATCAAGAAAAATAACTTATCACTCTATAAAATATGGGACAAAGAGTTTAAAGATAGAACAATAAAAAAGGTAGTATAGATCAACTGCAGTAATACTTAAGCATACACTCAAATTATTCTCTGGTTCTAGCCTTACGGATAACCCGCTTTTCTTTGTGTTAATTGAAAATAAACCTAATATTTTACGGTTTTGGGCTGTCAGATAAAACAAGATGCCAAATTGAGCTTTAATTTCTGATGGGCATCTTTGTTAATTTTTTTATATTTGATTGATCACTTAATGAATATATACAGCAGATTACCCGGTAATGAAATAAAGCTACTATTGGTCCTGAAACAATGTATTATGGTAATATCTTAAGAAATTATTGTGAAAAGTAGCATCAATAGAATTTCAAAACAATAACAGCACACTTTCATTGAATTTAGAGAATTTATTTGCCATTTCTGACACATTACACAATTCAATATTTCAGTTGATCATGTCAATGTTTCTTCTTTTATACAGTAGCAGTGGGTGAAAATAAATATACATAAAAATACAAAACAGAAAAAGTAATGCTTCCGAATATGGAAGAAAATTATCTAGAACTGTGTGTCGCCTTATTACTTATTTTCAGCAGGCTTGAAAATCCACTTCCAGTATGCAAACGGCTAACGTGAAGATTAAACAAGCAAAACATGAGCAATCCGTTAGAGAGAACATCCTCGCTTAATGAATATCAGATCATAAATTACAACTTACACTGCCAAAAGAGATTAAATGATCATTATTCTTGATTTTATTGCACTTTCCACAACCTTACTATGCAGCAGGCCGGTGGCTAATCACTGTTAGCTTTTAGCCACGACTGCTCCACCTAATGGATCTTTCTTCAAGTTAACGAAGGACTTTTTATACTGATGATTTCTAGAAAAGGGAGCCAGAGGATTAGGGAAAATAGATATGTACATACAGTAAATATGGATCAGGCCGCCTTGGACAGGCACAAGACATTCACAGTTCTTCTCTACATGATGCTTAAATACAAAAACATTGTTCATCCCAAGTGTTTGCAAAAAAACAGCAAATCACTTATATTTAAAGGAGTTTGATATACAGTATGTGCTATCATCAATGTGGGCCTGTTATTGCTGGTTGAACTCTGTACGCATGCTCCTGATCGTTCATAAACAGATGATATAGATTAACACAGACACTGGTTGAAAATTGAAAAGTAATTGGAAAATTGAAAATAAAATATACAGCCATATACATATACCAGGAAACAGTAATAATTATTTTATAATATATGCACTTCTTAAAATCTCTCTTAAAAGTAAATATTGGATTTGTGTTGGTATTTAAACATGGAAACCCTTTTGGTTTGCAATATAATATATGTAACTTTTTATCTTCCACACAGTACAGTAACACGTTGATCTTCGGTTTTTGAGGACAAACAGGTCAAGACAAAAGTGTTTGAGTTGAAGCATATTTTGGTCCACTATCAAATACATTTAAATAATTAAAAAAGCCAATCTGTTTTTTGTCCAAAGCAGAAATAAAAGTGTAAAGATATGAAGCGGTCTAATCTAAAAGCTGCTGATGTTTGAAGCAGAATTTGTTTACACTTTTCCTGACCTTTGTTTCCTCAAGTGCAATTGAGCATTCACATGAAAATAACAATGTAACAAAAACAAACTGAACACATAGACATGTAATGAAGGCCTACACCTTAACGGCTTTCGCCCTGGTCCAAACAAGTGAAATGTTTTTTGAATTTCTTTGATGAAGCTGGCTCTTGCCAACTCTGCTGCTGCTGCCGTTTAAACTGCCTTTAGAACCTCAGGCACTTCTCTTCATGTCACCTCACCAGAAGCTGTGAGAGTGATGTTTTTTGACCTCGTAGTGCATCCATACTTGGCACACATGTTTCATAGTTTTGGGTGGTTGAGGCGGAAGAGTAGGGTGTAAAATGAGAGTCCCCATCTGTACAATTTTCATGCACAAGATCCCTCGAAATCTTCCGCTCCTGTCCATTTTGAGCTCCGTAACGCCGCCCCACCAAAGCAGGCTGCTCTGGTGTGGACCCTGTGAACCAGAGCGTGTGTCCCGTGTCTCTTGAGTTCTCGGGGAAGAAGGGCAGAGATGTTGCCGTTTACATGAAGGCTTGCCCTGACGGAGCACCATAGGAGAAGCCTGGGAAAGCTCCGGCTGCTTCCTTCACGCTGCTGGTCACCATCAGCGAGTCGTTGCACAGAGAGGCGGGGACGGGCATGTGGGTGAACTCGGGGTCGAAGTGACGGAGGTCTGTGGGGCCGCTCTGTGAAACCAAGCAGGGAGGACATGATTTAGTTAGAAAATACAAGGTAAAATGTCAAAACAGTAATACATGTTGCTGTTATGCATTACACTGCTGTATTTTTTTAATTGGTAGTGATGGGAAGATGAAGGCTTTCTTTTTGTAAACATATAGCAGCCCTTTAAGAATTGTTATTCTTATTAAAATCGCTTTATTATCTGTAGATACAAAAAATTCACAGTAAAAAAAAAGAAATGTATATATATTAAATATATATCTCATCTGAAACACTATTACTTTTATTAGACAAAAGTATTAATCACAAGAGTAATTGTGTGAGTACTTGCAGCAGTATATAATGGTTGATATATGTTAATATTTTTTTTCAAACAATGTCCCATAGGCCTTTAGTAAATTGTAGCCATTTGTATATATTTTGTTGTGGTAGTGATTAATAGAATATAAAACATACAACTGCTGAACTACACTCATCTGAACTCACCACTGAGGGGATGAATGGAGGTGTGATCTTCTTGTCCATCAGGTCGTCCCAGTTGATTGGAGAGAAGAAGGAATGGTGCTTGAGTTCAAGCTGGAGGAGACAAGACAATTTAGATAACTTGATGTTCACATTCATAATTAAGTAAAGATAACACCCTTTTCACCCCGGTTACATTTTCCATTTGCCCTGAGAGGCAGATAGTTCAGAGTTAGATAGTTCACTTTAGTCTAAGTTATCTCAGTGGGTCTCAAATGGTTTTATCACAATTTATGTAAACAAATATTTCCAAGGCACTCCTTTATAATTATTAGGATAAATAAAAACAGGTTTTAAATCATTCCAATGTATACTATAGGACAGTAAACCAAAAATATCCTTTAAAACTGGAGAGATTAAAAAATATGGATAAATACATTTATTTGTTATTGGCTATGGTAGGTTATTGGTTATGTTCACATACTTATTTGATTAATAAAATGCAAACCGATCTTTTTCAAATGGGTGTTTTAGAGTTGTACCCCCTAGATCAGGTCTCTAGTAATTCTGCTCAAAGTGCACCAGATTGAAGCATTTTACTTTAAAATGTTAAAGAAAATCTTCCCGGCGGGTGCATACCCCCGGACCCCCCGAGAGGATGTGACGTCCACCCCTCGATTAAAACATGTTGATACAGTACTAAATACATTTGAAGCCTTTTTATATAAGCTGTCATCATGTCAATAAGTTTCGATCTTGATCTTTTCTACTGTACGTTTTTCAGGCTGCGCCAGCAAAAATCTTGCCTAGGGCAGCAAATTGGTCAGAACCGGCCCTGGTGTCATCCCCACAGCACCCCCCATTTGAAAAACATGTTCCCACGGCTATGAATGCCAGCAAATACAATGGCGGCTTCACAAAACTTTTCTGAGTTTTACGGGGCGTGGTTTGCAATTCGCCCAGCCAATCAGAAATGGGAACATTTTTCTCCCATGAAAGTGCCTGCTCTCTAGCAGGGACTAAAAAGGGGGTGAAAAGGTTCTTATGAACTAAATTCTAGTTCCGGATTTTTTTGGTGTGAACGCAACATTTCAAGAACTATCAGAACTATTCTGGGAAAAGTACTCCGGTGTGAAAGTGCCTACAGATAGAAAAAGTGGCTTCCAATAGCTTCATATGGTTCTTTAGTTATGTTAATTATGTTATGTTACTCACAAAGTCATCCTTCACTCCCAGCCTCTTGGTGCGGTCCTTCTGCAGCAGCCCCTCCAGCAGCTCCCTGCCGGAGTTAGACACGTTGGGCTTCAGCACGGG